ATATTAAACTGTTTTCGTATATGGACATAATTTTAAACTTATTTACCCGTTTTAACTAAGTTTCCCTATTTAAAAAATGTAACTAAAAATTTAATAAACTATAAATAAATTCGGTCAAAAGCTATAATTTATATACAACTTCAACAAAAAAAAAAAATTATGTCGGAATCAAAACCTACAATTTACATACAACTTGTATATAATCAAAAGCTATAAGCTACAATGACCCTTGATAAAAAGATATGGATCGGAGGTGGAGGATTAGGGTAGTAGAGTAGGTAATCTAGAATGTTCATAAATAAAGGACTGCAGTAACAAGTGAAGCCACATTTCTCTGTCGCAAGTTTATATCCGGGCAGAACCCCGAAAGTTACAAATGTTGAATATATGGGGCTAATATTTCGAGCTTCCCATCCATGTTCTCTTCAATGATCAGTTTTCTCAGCTTCACGTTGCAGATTTCCAAACGATGAATGCCCGAAACACTACACAGTTCCAAGCACTCCAAGTTAGGGCAACCAGATAATACTTCTCCCATTATACCACCAGTCAATTCAAGGTCCCCAATTGAAAGAGAAACGAGCCTACTCCAGTTAACACTGCCAGGAGGGCTCAATTTGCAGCTGTAGACATCGAAATTTTAATGGATCAAGCTAAATCCTAAATTCATGATACTACAAGACCTCTTGAAACTCTAGGAGTCTGTCAGTGTTGCGTGGAGGCTACTCTACCAAAACCCTAGGTCACTCCTATAAAAAGGGTTTTATAATCCTTTAAAAAATATCTCAAAAATGGAGATCATCTCGAAAATCCCATAAACTCACAGGATATTCACAAAGAGATCAAGAAGTGGCCGAATAATTCTTGATAATCAAATACTTCAAGAAGATCCACAACACACTTCATGGATATCAAATAAATCCATGAAAGCCCGTACCGTCCTACGTTCGAGAAACACACTGTTCTAGCCCTCGAATCATGGAGATAATCAGGAGAGAAGAATCAAGAGATAAACAGAATTGTACCCGCGTCTTTTTATGAATAAAATTATGTTTCTTCATATTTATATTGTGGTTGCAATTTATTTTTGTATCACATATAATTTGTTGCAAACAAATTGGCACGCCCAGTGGGACTAGTTCTGCCCTTCATCTCTTCCTCCTGCAAATCAAAACTACTTCAAAAATTTCCGTTGTGATCGGGTACTTCAAGTCTTTTCTTCAAGTTTCACCAAGCCTGCACCCCGACAAACCTTGAAGTAGGGGGCATCTGTAGACATATAAAATTTATATGTCTACAATATGTCCCTAAAAGGAAGCAAGACGAGGGCGAATCATCTAATCTCCAAGCCAAGACGCTAAAGGAGTTAACTCTTCTGGTAAAACGAATTGAGGCAGTAAAGTTGTCCTCGAAACCGCTTGCAGGATTTGTAGCCCAAAATCATTGGCAGAATATGGCACTCCCTACAAAGCGAACAGATGAAGGTTTTGATCCTAACGCTTACAAGCTATTTGCAAAAGCTGGATACAATCCCAATGAGTCGTCAAAGTTAGGGAAGCTCCCATCAGAAGCTGCAATGAGGCAACCACGTGAAGGTTTGGAATACAAGCAACCATCACCAGTGTGCATCTCAATAAGAAGGGCGAGCAGCAATTATATCACTGGAGAAAATGAATCGGCAGCTTCTAACAGGCCTTCTGTCTTTGATCGACTTGGAAAATCGCCTGTGAGGACCTCTGTTTTTGAAAGATTGGGTCCATTAAAGAAGGGGAACAAGTTCCGGAGAAATTTTCAAGGCATAAGAACACCCGTTTTACCCAAAATTCAGGAGATCTCTAAGGATTTCCAAAGTTTGGTTCCTCCTAGAATGAGGCGACAAACAAAACTTGTGGTTTCATGTGAAGAAGTACTGAAGGTAAAGCCATATACTGTGGTCTACACTAAGGAATGTGACGAGGATGAAGAAATTGTAGGTTCTTCGTATCATGTTACTGTATAAGTTGAGAATGGCGTTCCATCCTCAATAGAGGATAATGCAGAATTGGAGGATATTTCATCGTGTTATCACATATCCTTCAATAATGGGGACCCTCAAGAAGATGAAGATGCGAAGGATGCTCCACCTGAACTTGAAGAAGGAGTGAAAACGACAGTTGATGCCTTAAAAGAAGTTAACCTTGGTACCGATGAAGAACCAAGACCCACCTACATAAGTGCTTTACTAAAAGTTGATGAAGAGAGCACTTATATTGAGTTACTCAAGGAGTTCAGGGATGTCTTCGCTTGGAGTTACAAAGAGATGCCTGGCTTGGACCCGAAAGTAGCAGTCCATCACCTTGCAGTCAAAAATGGTGCTCGCCTTGTTAAACAAGCTCAAAGGCGCTTTAGGCCGGACTTGGTTCCCTTGATTAAAGCCGAAGTTAACAAACTCATCGAAGCTGGCTTTGTTCGTGAAGTTAAATACCCAACATGGGTTTCAAGTATTGTCACTGTAAGGAAGAAGAATGGCCAGATTCAAGTGTGTGTTGACTTTAGTGATCTCAACAATGCATGTCAATTTCCGCTTCCTATTCCAGAGCTGATGATCGATGCTACTACTGGTTACGAGGCAATGTCTTTCATGGACGGTTCGTCGGGCTATAACCAAATACGCATGGCACCAAAAGATGAAGAGCTTACTGCATTCCGTACCCCAAAGGGTATTTATTGCTACAAGGTAATGCCTTTTGGCTTGAAGAACGCTGGTACTACATACCAAAGAGCTATGCAGAATATTTTCGACGATCTTCTCCACAAGAATGTCAAATGCTATGTTGACGACTTGGTGATAAAATCAGGAGAGAAGGGCGACCACTTGAAGGACTTGGGGTTGGTATTTGAATTGCTCCGGAGGTACCAACTTAGGATGAATCCATTGAAATGCGCCTTTGGAGTTACTTCTGGAAAGTTCCTTGGTTTCATTGTCCGACATCGAGGGATCGAAATTGATCAAGCCAAAGTGGATGCCATGTTGAAAATGCCCGAGCCTCGGGATATCCATGAATTGAAAAGTCTGCAAGGAAAATTAACGTACCTTAGGAGATTCATCTCGAACCTAGCTGGGAGGTGTCAACCATTCAGTCGCCTTATGAAGAAAGGTGTCCCTTTCAAATGGGACCAAGCATGCAGTAGTGCCTTTGAGAGCATTAAAACCTACTTGATTAAGCCTCCAGTTTTAGCAGCCCTTATACCTGGAAAGCCATGGATACTATACATTACGGCACAAGAAAGGTCCGTTGGAGCACTGTTGGCCCAAGAAAATAGTGAAGGGAAAGAAAACTCTCTTTACTACTTGAGCAGGATGATGACACCGAACGAGCTGAATTATTCGCCAATTGAAAAGTTGTGTTTGGCGCTAGTCTTCTCAATTCAAAAGTTGAAGCACTACTTTCAAGCTCATACTGTTCGTCTTGTTTCTAAGGCAAATCCCATCAAGTTCGTGATGTCAAAACCTGTTCTTAGTGATCGACTAGCAAGATGGTACCTCCAATTTCAACAATTTGAGATTTTGTACATCCCTCAAAAGGCTATAAAAGGACAAGCATTGGCAGACTTCTTGGCAGATCATCCGATACCTGATGACTGGGAGCTAACCGACGAACTACCTGATGAGGATGCAATGGTCGTTGAAGTTCAACCTCCATGGAAG